ATTTGGAGATGCAGTGTGGGTAGAGTGTGATGAAGCCATGTCAGGCAGTGCATCCCGTATTTGCTCTTAGGCTTGATCACTATCTGATGTCAAAGGAGAAGAAGAGTGCTGAGAAATGGTCGTTGCCAAAGGGTTAGCCATGTATGGCGCAACAGCCAAAGAGCACCCAGGATCCGTAGTAGGCAAAGGAGCAGAAGAAGCTTGATGTTTCTTGAGTATGAAAGGAGGCTGATAAGGCTTGGGTGTAGGAGGCTTAGGGTCTTTGGGAACTGGGCCTCCAGTTTTGGCCTTTCTCTTTTTGGGTTTGGGCTTAACAAAAGCTGTTGAGGGTGGTGGGGGTGGACTAGAAGAGGCAACATCCATTGGTGTAGAGGAGCCCACCAAATCCTGAGGTTGAGGCATAATTCCCGCCTGTTGGGTCTCCTTATCCTTATTTGAATTCAGCAAATCTGTATCATCCTCTGAAATCGCTGCTATCACAGCAAACCGATTTTTCCGAGATTCATGGGAACCAATATTAGCAACAATCTTTGATGGCGAAGATTGTGCCGGCTTTGTTGCAGAGGGATTCTGAGAACCCGAGATTTTCGGGGGAGAAGGGGGAGAGTCACAAGTTGTCTGTGCTACCTGTCGACGGGGTGGTGGCCGTCGTTTTGACCGCCGTTGCTGAACCATCCATGGCCCAAAAACCATATTATTTTCCTCAAAATTTGGCTTCAGTGTTTGTGTTAATTCAATCATAGCCTTGGAGCTAGGATTATTCACTACAGAGGGAGCTTTCTCCGGATTTTTGTAGTGACAAATATCCTCAGTGTGGCCAAACTCTCCACAATGGAAGCAAATTTTATGCAAACCTTCATATTCAACCGGAATTAAAGACTGAGGTAAATCCTCCAAATCTAGATCCACAGATGAAGGGAGCCGCTGACTGAGATCAACCTCAACACAAACTCTAACAAATTTCCCTCGAGTGGCAAGGAGAGTTGTAGGATCCACTTTGATCGGTTTACCAATTTTGCTACCTAAATAAAGACAGATTGCCTCATAGAAGCAGACAATGGGGACTCCATGTAATTTAACCCACACAGCTGTTTTGGGAGCTTTCACTCTAGCCGGATGAAAGCTTGGTTCCCATGGCTGGACAGTTAGATAATGATCAAACATTTTATACGGTCCTCCAGTTAGAATCTTAGAGCAATCTTCTAGAGAAGAGAATTTGACAATATAATATCCTAGGCCCACATCGATGACCTCAAATTCTTCTGTTGTTTGCCAATCCTTTAACAAGCGTGAATGCAGAGCATGGAAGTGAATAGATTTTCCCAGAAGTTTAATGATGACTGCATTCTTCCAAGGGGCACAAAGTCTCTGCCAGATTGACTTGGGGATCTTAACTTTAGGAACTTTCGGTTGAGAGGGATTCACTCCATCTTCAGCCATGGGATGCTGAGAGTCAAAATCGAGATTGGCTGCTACGAATTCATCATATGTGACGAGCGGAGGCTCAATGGAAGCACTGCCATCCATAAGCGTATCCCTAAAGGATTTGGTTGGCAGTTCCTGGTGAGAACGTAAAGGAGAAGTCGTTGGAATCAGATCTGACCCAGATGAAATAGGAATGGCTACTGATATGTCTGGAGGCGGCGGTGGCGTCGGAGGAGGAAGAATGGGATTGGCCGGTGGGGGCTCAGAGGAATTGGGAGGGGAGAGAATCATTCCGATTTTTTATTCTAGCAAACAATTATTTTTAGAGATTCATGTATGTGTTTTAGATTGAAACGTTAAAAGTGCAATCTCAACACTAAAATTATTAAGTTGCTCTTAATAAATAAATATACAAAATAAATTTTATTAAAAATATTTTAATAATTTTAATAATTAAACTGTATTTTTTTTTTAATTTTAGTTGCAAGTTGGAAGGTAATTATCTTCGTTCATTATCACACTTCACCTGCATATCATGCGATTCGAATTCAAAAACTCTTATTTTTAATATAAAAAAAAACACTGAACTATCTAAATAGTCGATAATTATATTTTTAGTATACAATATAACTTAAAAAATATATGTTTTTAAATTTTTATCTACTACAATTAACAACACCATTAGAACATAAAGGAGCGTGAATAATAAGAAGTTTCATTGGCATTTGATTCACGCTTCATTGTAATATTGGATTTCTTAAAAACCACAGAAAGAATTCCAATTCAATCATGCATTCCACGAGGAAATGATTATTGGAGACAACACGTGGACGGTGCAGATGGCATCACACTTGATAAGCTCAATTGTGTACGCTTTGGAGTTACTAAGACGCTCAAGCAATAGTCCGTCAACGATCCGAAAAGCGGAAAGGGTAGACACGGACTGACAGAGCCCCTAGATGGTTGGCACGTGGGCGGCCGGGATTCCATTTAGAATACCCAATGCTAGTTTGACAAGTGGCACCATTCAAGTATCTCAACTCTCACGTCCCCCGTCTTTCAGCCACGGCACGCATGCCGTGCCTTGAGTTGGACTCTTTTACAGGTTGGCTGTTTTCGTTTTTGATGGTACACTAATTTAATTATGGAAAGAGATTGTCCATCAATTAAATAATTTAATAGTTATTTTTTTATTAAAAATAAAAAATATAAAAATTTGAATCGTATAACATA